AGTCAACGAGCTGAAATCGTGCCCGACACTAATTCGCTTTCATCGGTGACACAGTGATGTCCCTGGTCGTCTTGAGGACTTTTATAGGCGTTGTCAACCGGCCTGAGGGTGCGAAGCCTCTTCCTCGTTTTGACCGCATTCGAAGACGACTTCGGCGGCATTCACTTTCAACATGGCGGAAGAAACTCTTTAAACAGCGCTGCCATCGATCTATGGTCAAGCTTTGAGGTCCCGTCAGATATGACACCGACTCGACTCAGACAAGCGCCATCAAAGGGCGCCGCCAGCAACAGGCGATCTCGAACAAAACATCCGCGTCCCTCTTAAACGAACTCATCGCGCAACACGTCCAACATAGAGGAGCCGCTCTTACGCTGGCTCAACAGGAGACGGCGCTGCTCTGCTTCCTTAGCCGGACATCGCGTGTATTTAGGCAACATTCATACGTATATGTGCTCCATTCTGCCGTAATATCAATAGCCGTACATAGCAAGATGGATGGACCGATTACGATTACCGCAGTCACACAGTCTAGTTTAATTATTGGAATAACCACCGGTTGGCATTAATTACGTAATAGAATAGAAACCACTGGGTCGATTATAGATGACTGGCGATAACTGAAAAGTTAGTTATGATATGTTAGTGATAACCAGCTGACAGGGGGAACCATATTGCTCACGTATCTGGCAAGCGATGAGAACTGTTACTAAAAAGAGAGTTGAGAGTTTTGCGCAATTATGTCATGTAATTTCTTTGGCACATTGCCACGACGTCCACTGATGTTCAGCGAATGGTGACCAATGAATAGAAAGACGTTGAATCGAATGCGTTTATTCAGCAGCTACTGTAGTCACGGGAACTTGACGTGAACATTAAAGAGAATGTTGACGATTTAATAATCATATGAACACTGTTAGTTTTATCGCGGTCACTGTAGTCTGGTCCATACTTGTCCCTGAACACAGCAGCATGAAAATTTTAGTAGTTGCCAGTTCATAAGATGTATTATGAAGGCAGTAATTACGAATGAGTCAATAAGTTCCAAATATTTTATTTACAAACAGACACGGAGTACATGACCGACGGTTGTCATGGTTCGCACGTCGTATGTCGAACTCAGCTGTTATGGTGTGCTAAAGGGTGGACGACATGATTTATTACTGAACGCTGCGCTGCGTCTTCCCGCCTTGGTGAAAGATGCTGAATTGAGTCCATTATGCAACGTCACTCGTCCAGCGAATTGTTAGTCTTCCTCTTGGTCCCGGTCGTGGAGTCAAGTCATGTAAGTTCGAGATTGTTGTTCGATA